GGGGGATGGGGGTGGGGGGGAGGGTGGAGGACGAGGGTCGGCACGCCCGTAAAATAAACTGGCGCGTCCAATCTCAAGGTTAACTCGATTCTTCTGCCTATCGAGGAGCCGTGTCGCTCTTTTCAACGTACCCGCGAGGGACCTCAGCCCCGAACCCGCCGTCGGTGGTCCAAGGTACCTTCTGTCCGTCCATCCCGGTGACTGTCCCCGAAAATTCGAAAAGAGCGTCCCGACTATACGTGCCGAGCGTCGAAACTACGGCGTGCCGCCTCGCCGTTTGCGGCGAAACGCGATATCGGGGAAACAAGTACCGATATATCACGTGGCGATACACAAGCGTGCGTACTGTACGTGTGTGCGCGTGCGGTATGCACGAGTGTGCGGACTCACCTTGTGGTGCTGCATGATGGCAGTGGCCTTTCGCTTGGCGGACATATTCAGTTCTCCGGGGTGCCCTCTCTGCCCCCCTGCGCGGAGCGGGAAATATCTGCCTCGCCGGTCTCTATCCGACTGTCCGCCTCTGTCCTCCTGTCTCCTCCTGTCTCTCTGTCCTTCGCTCTTCCGTCTGTTTTTCCCTCCTACTGGCGAGCCATAAGCGTCCACCCGAAGGCACAACGGCGATCACGAGGAACACAAAGGCGGAGGGGGGAGGGGAGCGGCGCGGGGGTTGACAACGATAGACGAGCGCACGCGGTGATGAGTGCGCTCTCTTTCTCCTCCCTCCCGTTCCCTCTTCGTTTCCTCTTCTGTCTCCTTTTTTCGCTTCCGCTCTCGCGGCAGCTTCCTCTGGACACGCGGCGCGAGCGCGTAGGAAATGAGGTGTTCTTTCCGGGGCGACCGGCACGTCGCGAGTAAACTTTCTCGGAGCGAGTTTCGTGTTTCGTTTTCTGTCCCTCTCTCTCTATCCTCCTTTATGTCGCGCGCGCGCGCGCCCGCGCACTCCGTTCCACCTTGCGCTCGTGAACTTTAAGCTTTCACCCCGCGCACACCGCGCGCGCGGTACACGGCGGCGCCACGAAAGTTCCGCGACAAAACCGCCCGCGCAGTTGGTCGTTGCGGTAGCAGGTGTCGGCGCCGCGCGAGATTAAAACGGGCGCCGCGCGCAACCGGAATGACCGGAAGAGTGTATCCGCGCACTCCGAAACGTAACGGGCTCGGTTCTCCTTTCCCGTCACGTTGTCCCGTGTTTCTTTCTTTTTTTTTTTTGCACTCACGCTCCCTCTCGCACGCGTGTCTTCTCAGCTGTCTTTATCACTGTCTTTCCTCCCACTCCCTCTGCCTCGTCTCTGTGTCCACGTCACGACGCGATAAACGTGCACAGGGAAATCCCCGCAAAGTACATCAAACCGGTGAGACGGTTTCGCAATCAGCTGGCTCGCCCGAACCCCGGAGCATTCCGATCGTACGGACGTCGACTGATTTTCCCAACTCGTACGAGTCGCGTCTCGCGCACTTGACTGCTTTCCGTCAACGAGGAACACGGGGGTCCAGGTTCGCAACGGACAGTCCCACGTTTTCGGAAGGTAGTAGTACGGTGCTCGGCCTGTCGTTCGAGAGAGAGAAACTATCTCGTGGGGGCTTTCGCACCGCTGCTCCCGTCTGGCTGCCGGGGGGGGGGACCGTTCGTCGGAAAAATGACCTGTTCGCGCGATCGTTGTCTGCCTTGCACGCCCGTTTCCTGTGCCGCTCGCAGCGAGAGATGGGAGAGCCTCCGGGCTCCGCTGCTCTGTTCACAGAACGTCCTCGCGTCACGAGCGCTCACGGCAAACTAGCAACTGGCGACGCGACGACGACGACCTCCTCCCCTTCTCGCACCGCAGCGCCGCCGCCTCCACATGCTCCCCTCCCCGGTGTCCTCACCCCAGCTCCACGGTAGAGAGCCTCATACCGCTACCAACGCTTCACCCATACCCCACTCTCTCTCACTCGCCGTCAACTCAGCTCTCTCCCCCCCCCCTCCCACCTTCCGTCGGTTCTCTCGCTCTCCCGCGCAACCCCTCATCACAGTCCTCCGACGACCCGCACCGCTCTCTCACTCCCCAGCGGCCCTCTTCGAGCGCGTCAACCCCCCTCGGTTCCTCGTCCCCTCCTGCCTCACCGTGGCCATCTCTCTCCCTCTTCCTCCCTCTCTCTCCCTCCCTCCCTCGCTCTCTCTCTCACTCTATCTCCGTCTCCCTTCCGTTCCCTCTCGTTTCTGCTTCTCTTGTCCCGGCGCCCTCGTCGGCTCCCCCTCGACCCTCGACCCTCCCCACTCGGTTCGGTGCGGTGGCGGCGGCGGCGGCAGCGGCGGCGGCGGCGGCGGCGGTAAGGTAGGGTCTGTCACCGTCAGAACATCGAGGGGGCCGCTGGACGAGTAACTCGGGGGGGAAAGCGGGAGAGGGGGTGAGAGGATTCAAAGGGGCGTAAGGGGCCGCTGTCGGGCATCCGGCGGCGCGGGGCAAGGAGGGGGTGAGGGAATGGGCGGCAGGGACCTTTCTGGACGGTGAGGGCAGGGCGGCGGGAGGGTAGTAGTACAGCGTAGAACGAGGGGCCAAGGGGCGCCAGCGCTCATCGGCCGAAGGGGCTTCCACGGGTGTGTTAGGCTTGTGCTTAGAAGGGTATGTGCTTTGCCCACCGCTTTGCTCCTCCAGTGTACATGTGCGGCACTGCTACGTGGACGTACAATATCTACGGTCTCTATCTCTCTCCCTTTCTCTCTCTTTGCCCGGCCTTCGTCTATTTGAGTGTGTTGCTCTATCTGTACCTCTACCACTCTCTGTATATCTCTCTTTCTCTCGCACACGCACGTACAAACATATATATATTCTCTCT